GGGAACACAAATAACATCGGCAAGAAGATTTCCCGCACATGTCGACCTTGGCGGTCCATTTTGAGAGCATCGTGAAGTTCAACTTCGACCCCTACAGAGAACCCCTGCAGGTCAAGTTTGACAGCAGCGACCGCCAGCTGAAAAACTTCAGCACACGATACATCGATGGGTTCACCAAAGGCTTGGTTGGCCACTTGATCGTGGCCATTGTTGACCAACTTGCGTCTGAGCAGCATTGAAAGATGTTCTCGAAATCAGGATGTTGCAGCAGCCTAATTACAACCCAGACAGAAGCACAAACTGAGAGAAGGAAATTCCGGACGACGAGCTGGACTCCCCGGACCTGGCTCCGTTGCTGAACTCTCTTCGATTCTACAAAGCGAACTATCGCCATCGTGACGACCCTGCGCAGTTCTGCTACGATGCTCTGCGCAGCTTTTCAGCAATATGCTTCAGGTCTCCTTTACAGTCATTCACCTTCTCGTGTGTGATTTCGACAGGTATCGGCAATGAGACAGCCGAGAAACAAGCTCCATCAGCTTTGGAAATGTTGGCAATGTTCAAGGCAGCCATTGCCTGCATCAGAACCGGCCAGAAGCGCCAAGTTCCCCTGAGGGACGCGCTGAATCAGGCAGTGGCGGACTACAACAAGGCTGTGATCCGCAAGTTCAAGGTGGACAGTGGCAAAAAAAAGATGCTGCTGAACTTGCTGCGCTCGCCCGACGACTTCTTGGAGTGCCTGACGCAGCACTATGACAAGCACCGGCACACCCAGTCAGGACACCTTGTGATTCATGCTTGATCGTGCCATGTTGGATTCTCTGTTTTTGCTTGCTGTTGCCTTGCTGATGGCAAGTCTCTATGCGCAGCGATGCTGTTCAGGACGTAGTAAGCAGTTGCCGTAATGTGACATGCCTCGCTTGAAGACATGGAGAGCGGACGCGGACAGCTCCACCAGCCGCAGTCGAAGCCCAAGGCCGAAGAGAGCTGGGCTCTGCGGCTTGCGACGTGTCAGGGTCGTGAACTCCTCCAGTGGATCCACAAGCTCTGGCGCGCCTAATGGCTGAACCGAGCGCGGCGTCAGAAGACTGCAGGGTGGAGCCGCTGCTCGCTTGTACAGCGCATTCCATGATCTGCCCACTCCGTGTCTTTCATGGCTGTTTTGTTGTTTGTCTCCTTGCGTGAGTGAGCTTTAGGCAAAGAGCTGAACTTTGCCTTCAAAATCTGACCAGCTTGTCTGTGACGAACCGGACAACGGCAGAGGACAACGCGCACGCGAAGAACGGCAAGAACAGAACCAGGGTGCGGAAGCTTCTGAAAAGTCAGGAAGCCAGTGGTTGCGGATGTCAGCGCAGGCACACATGCTGCAGCTCAATGCATTGCTTCTGCTTCTTGTTTGCTGTTCTGTTGCCAGCAATGAATGGCCAGGTGCTGGAAACGAATCTCCTTCATGGTTTTGTTGCAGATGTGCGAATTATTTTGGTCGTTGTGCAAGAGCGCACAGGATGCTCTTTTGTGGCCCATGCGAGCTTGCAACACAGAGTGTGAGTCCAGCGGTGGCGAGTCTGGTTCGGACGACGATGACAGATGGAGTCATCGCGTGCAATGGTTTATTGCAGGCTTCTTCTTGCTCCAAGTGTGCTTGTTGTGATTCCAATTTGCACACATCCAGTCTGCGCATGGTCTAATTGCAATTGATTAAAATCCGCATGCAAGGTGAGCGCGTGTGCAGACGGGCATTCTTGAAGATGATGGGTCTAAGCTGCGCCCGGGTCCAACGCACTCGCAAAATGTTCCAAGGAGCAGATCTACGAACGGTGGCAGGACGAGGCAGGCAAGCATGGTTTTTTGTTGTGCAGTTGGGTCAGTTGGGCTATTCAGTTTTGTAATTGGCACAGGGCGAGGTCATCCTGCGCATGCAAGCGAATCGGTGAATGCTTTCCTGCGGCAACTCTACTATTCTCTCTCCGAGACCATGCCGACTGGAATATGGGATAAAGACGAGCATTTGTCAGACAACGAACTACGAAACAAGATGCTTCGATCACTCCTGGATTCGGTGCTTGAAGGTCCGACTGCGCAAGCTCGCGTACCGCCGCACCTTCTGGCCAAACGCGAACTACCTCCTGGCAACTGGTCAAACATCTATGTCATGTATTTGGCTGCTTGCAAAAGCAAGAAGATCGAAGCTGCGTCCCTCCGAACGTTTTACACAGTTGTCAAGACTTGGAAGCCGTGTTTGAAATTTCGGAAAAAATCAACACATTCCACGTGTTTTGAGTGTGACAAGATTCGGGCCAAGATGAGACATGCTAAAAGCTTTTGGGAGCACGCGTCGGCCGCGGACGAGCTGTTGGGCCACCTCACTCTCACATGGCGATGCCGGCAAGAGTATTGGGCTGCCCGGGCCCAATCCCGTTTGCGCGAGAACTTGCTCACTTTGATTATTGATGGTTTTGATAAGTCCAAACCAGTGCTACCAAGATGGGGGCGTGGCAGAACGCCCAAAAGCACCATCTTTGAGAAACACAACCGCCCGCACGTCAACATCAGCGCTGTTTATGCGCATGGCTACTGTTGCAATGTGTTCTTGAGTGATGAGTACATGAGCGTGGGCGGAAATTACTCCTGGGAAACGATGATGGTCACAATAAATGAATGCTGGAAGCTTTGCCGCGACAAGAACCAGTCATTGCCGGCAGCGTGCCGCGACAGCAAGCAACTAAGTAGTAAGCAGAAATTCACTTTCTGAAAGTTTTGTGACCTGAGAGTACTCTGGTACCTCTGCAGGCTTTGGATCCAAGCCGACAACACGGTCAAGGAGATCAAAAATTCTCTGAGCGGCCGTGTGTGCAGTGCCTTAGTGCAGAGCGGTGTATTCCAAGAAGCAGGGCACCATCATCTGCCAAAAGGCCACACGCGCGAAGATGTTGGTTCCTTGCTTGCGACTTATTTTGCATGAACATGTATTAAATAATACATTGTATGCCTTCTTCCCCAGATGCCATATTCGGAGCTCTGGCGTCAATCTTGTCTGCCGCTGATGATTCTGTGCAAACCCCTGCCGACCTGAAGAGGTTTGCTTGCTCCCTGCAGCTGTCTTGTGTTGTGTCTTGTGCTGTCTTGTGCTGTCTTGTGGTTGCTGAATGCTTCTTGTTTGGAAGGCTATTCGAGGAGAAAATGACCCCGACGTTCGAAGCGCGTGGCGAGACCTTCAATGTGTTTATCATCGACACAGCAACTGTGCAATAGCTGGTTGTTGCCGAATAGTTTGTATCGGTTATTTGCTCACACATGGTTCAGAAGCAAGGTTCGACCGTGGAGCGACATTTTGCCCCAACCCGTGACTCTTTCCGGCGCCTATCGCCCTCGAGACGAGAGTGACTCCTCGCAGATTCCACACAGTTTCCTCTTCAAGAAACGGGCAGGCCAGACAGTGTTGTTTCGTTCTTGGAGTCGCATGTAATTTAATAAACGTAATATTAACTTGACATGCGCGTGTCTCAGGTCTTACATCGGAGCAAGCCAACCAGATTGATGGTCGAAGATTCCATGGAGAAGCTTCTTCCCCCAACGATGTCATCGCACTCTTGAAGCTCAACCTGTGTGATGATGAGTTGTGCCAGGCCCCGCTACTGGTCTGGCCGGCCTCTGCAGAGCGCAGCAGCCGGGAAGCTTTGGCAACGTCGGACCAGCACGCAGGCTTTCGCAACTCAATTGATGAGGAACGTTCGCAGGGCCTCCAAGCCTTGGCAGGTGCACTTGCTGAGTACCCGCAGTATGGTCGAGCATGTGCATACTTGTTGCAAGTAGCTGGTGTGCGCAGACGTGCGCTTGTGGGTTTGCATAGGCTTGAGTTTTTGGCTGGAGCACGTGTCCAGCGTCGGCAAATCGTGCCGCCTGGTGTTTTGCCAGATCGTGTAGAACGACGGCCTGCGTACCGCTTGCAGGCTGTGTTTCATCGTGGTCGCCGCTAAAAAAAGTGTGCTTGCAAGTTGCTTGTTGGCGCTTCTGTTGTTGCTGTTCTTTTCTTGTTGCGCAGGACTAAGTTACGAGATCCTGGAGATGGACCACTTTGTGCCAGGGCAAGAGCGTTGGGACAATGCTCGCTACAAGGGCAAAGCCACATGGAAGGAGATTCTGCTGGTGTCAAACACAGCCCCAGCAGAATATGCGAAGCGGGTCACCATGGACTTTGACACAGCAGTCGGCAAGAGTGCAACCGCGAAGGTGAAGGCCAGTGTGTTTCTTGCAACGATAGGACACCCTAAGGGTTTGCTGACATGGTTTTGCTGTTGTGTGTGTTGTTCTGCTTGTCAGAAAAGTGCGCAGCGCACGGCCGAGCAACATCTTGCGCTCATGGACCTTGTCCAGCTCTGGATTTGGGTTCGACCAAAGCTGGCCTGCAGCATGGATGGCAACGCAGTGGATCGTTTGGATGCAATGTGGAAGCAAGGGCTCCTGGCCTGCCTTTAAGCCAAGCAAGGGGTCGATTTGCTCATTATTTTTTTTAAAAAAATCTTTGCGGATGGGGATGGGCCCAGTTTCAATCAAGGTTAGGAATTCATTTAAATCCCGGCGCAAAACTGATCACAATTTTCTATTGGCGCCCAAGACAAAATCGTGATCGGTTCCCCGAAATTCTGATCACAATTTAATAGTAAAAACCTAAACTGATCATGATTTTTCCTTGAGGGCGCGGGCTGGAAAGTGATCTATTCCTACCAAAACCAGGGATTTGTGATTCGTTTCTGGGATTACTGATCGCAATTTAGATAGCAACCGCCCCGTTGAAATTATGATCAACCAGAGTAAAAGTGATCACAGATCCGCGGCTGACAAAAAAAAAGGCGTCACAGATCAGGGATCCAATTTGTAAAGGCAAAACCCGTCACATTTCCAGTGGCCTGTTTGTAAAGACAAAACCCGTCACATTTCCGGGGGTCTGTTTGTAAAACACATGTCCAGGAGTCTGCTTGTAAAGGCAGCGCCCCACAGTTACCGCTTGTTACAGGGAGGCCCTTTGCATTTCCGAGTCTCTGTTGGTAACATCATCTGTTTGCAAACTAAGTTCTCAGTATTTGTTAGCTTGCTGTGCAAGACAAGAATAGTTTCCAATAGCACAGCAGCAGGGCTCAACCCCTGGGGCTAGGACCTGAGCTTGAATGTTGTTCGTCCCTACTCACACAGTGAGGCTGCTGGACAAGGATTTGCATGCCGTGTGCCTGGCTGCAGAAGACAATGTTGATTGGGGACGCATCAACTTTGTGATGGAGGCCAGATAGCTTCGCATGCTGAGTTGTCTTGGAGCCTTGCGATCTCTGCCTTGGCCCCAGGCGCTTGGGCGTACCCAAGAAGATTTTCTGGCTGCGGCCCAGAACAAGCGGAATGATGCCAACGAGGCGGCGCTGAAAGCTGCTTGGCTGGCATTCCAAGCGGATCTCGCAGCTGACGGCCTCCTCTTTGACGCGTTGCTTCTCCGGCACACGCAAGCCAACGAGAAGAAGCGGGGAGCCCTCGTCAAGAAGTTAGAGGAAATGTGGCACAACTGAATTCATCGGAGTGTTTGAAGCCGTTCAATTGTCAGTCTTGCGCAGCTTGGTCATTATGATGACTATTATGTATCCAAGGCATGGCCACTCCTGGCAAGTGGTGGAGAATCACATGGCCAAGTTCTTCAAGCTCTGGGAAGTCAAGACGAATGAACTTGGAGATCAGACAGTCTTGCCAGAGCTGCTACCTTGGTTGGAGGAGGCGCTGGACAGTGTGTCTTTCTCCAGGCAGAAGACGGAAGAAGGCTACGTGCTTTACTGTTGCCTTCCCACGGTCGGTGTGTTGTCAGCAGCGAAGACCAACTTTCTGTACCAGCTCGTGACAACCTTCCTTGCGATGCACCGCAGCAATGCCATTGCCGTTATCATCCTGCCAAACAAGGCAGGTTCCGCCAAGACGTGCTGGCCTCAGTTCTGGAAAATTGCTTGCATCATGCTTGGCTTCTTGTGTGTCTTGTTTTTCTTGTGCTTGCTGCTTGTTGCTTGTTTTGCTTGTCATTGCTTGAAAGGAAAGAGGAGACAAAGGACGAGGACATGCCGGACGATGACGAGGAGAAGGTCTGCAAAAATGAGGCCTCTGATGCCGAGGGCGATGTGAAGGGAGAGGAGGACGATGCTGAGGATGCCCCCCGCGACGATGCAATCTTGCTGCAAGACTTGCGCAACTCGCTGGAGGCAACTTTTCGCCAGCCGACGCGCAAGCTGCGTGTCAAGAACATGGTCATTGGCTTTGATCCAGCCACCGTCTTCGGCAAGAGAGAGCAATTCTTGCCAGGTCTGCTGATCACTGCGACTTGTCGACAGTTAGTCAATGTCCAAACTTTAAGTTGAATCTATTTCGTCCGATCCTTGCGCGTGAGGCCAACGACAAGAATGTCTTCCATCAAAGCAGTCTCTGGAAGCGGGCCATGGTGACGGATGTTGAGATGCTGAACCGGGGCCTGATGTTCCGGAAGCCTTCTGGGATGCGCATCAGCAACTGCCTGACGGACGGGCAGGAACTGAGACAAGTATCTCGACTGCATCTTATGCGTTGCTGCTTGCCTGTCTTTTGAGTGCGCAGAGAGCATGAACTGAACAGTAGAAGAGTACATGTCTGTGCAGGGTTCGAGTAGATTCAGCAGATCATTTGTGTGGCTTGCTTGTCTTGTGTCGTGGCTGTGATGCTTGTGACAGTCTGACAGTTTTTTGCCTGCAGTTTGTGGCCCAGTGCTGTTGGCAGTTTGCGCGCTTCTGTGTTTTGATCCAGACCAATGGATCCGCAACGGGTGGCGCTGCTTCAACAGCTGGGCTTGTCAACAGTGCCTGTGCCGATGGGGGTGATGCCTCCAATGATCCCAGCACATGGGCCGGCGCCGCCAGCACAAACGATGCCGACAGCGGGAACGATTCCGCCACCTGGACCGGGGATGCCTGGAGCAGGGCCGCCAGGAGCAGGGCCGCCCGCCGGAGCGGGGCCGCCACAAGCAGTGCCCCCTCGACCACCTGCGCCTGCGCCTTCGCCAGCGCTCTCGAACCTCCTCCCTGTGGAGCCGGATGAGAAGGTGGGCCCGTTGAAGCACGCCTGCTCGCTGACGAGCCCAACCAACGACAACCTGCAGGTGGAGTTCTACTACCGTTGGCGGCTTCGCCCCGACAGAACCACCGAAGGCAAAGCTTGTCCCAAAGCAGCCAGATGGCCCGCCACCTGGCCGCACGGCCCCTCGTGATGCTCCTGTACCTGAGCCTGTACGTGATGGACAAGACCACCACGAGCACGAGGATGACGATGATGACGAGGAGGCTTCAGAGACAGCGGCCGCCGAAGCCCAAGGCCATGCCGCCGGGAGCCCCCAGCAACCCTTCGACGGCGACAACGAGAAGAAGGCCGGAATCCCAAACACAGGGTTGAGGGTTTAAGGTTTAGGGCCTAGGGTATAGGGTTGAGGGTTTAAGGTTTAGGGTTGAGGGCTTCAGTTCTGCCAGGTAGGGAGGTAGGGATGACTATAATATATCTTAGACGCAGCTGTCCCTTGCAGGGAGGAGCCCGAGCCCTCTGACGATGAGTACGAGGCCCGTGATCGCCGCAAGCACAGGCGCCGCCGCTAGTGGACTTGCTGGAGACGGTCAGCTCGCTTTCATTGCAGGTGGATGATGGCAGATTAGGACTAAGAAGCATGCTTGGGGAAGCGCTGTGAAAATGAGTTTTGCGTGTTGCGCTGTGCTTGACTTGTATTGTGATGCATGTTTTCGATGTGCATACTTCCTTCCAAACACTGCTTCACATGCTGTCTCATTCATGTAGTGTTGTTGCTGTCCCTGTTTATCCAAGGTAGCTGGTGGCACCGACATCCTCTGGAAGTTGGAAGCGCAGCTCACTGCCAACACCCAGGTGAAGAACCTGGTTTGGGTGGACTGCTTTGGCTACGATGGCTGGCCAGCGCGAAGCTGTCTGGTCAAAAAATCATTGCCCAACACCTTCTGCGCTACCATTTGTCACAGTGTGAGCAAGAAGGAGGACAGCAACCAGATTTCCTACAAGTACCTCCAGAACCTGGTCATGAATCACGCCTACGAAGCTGCGCGCAATGGGGAGCTGGAACTAGATGGTTTCCCCTGCTTCGACACAGTTGTGTCTGAGCTCAAGACGCAGCAGGCAGACGGACCGGAGCCGCGTGATGAAGGCTACAAGGTTACTGCTGCGGTTGATGGGGCCCTGATCATCAAGAAGGCCTATCTGTCAAAGTTTCAGGACATGCCAGACTTCGACGAGGTTGTCCAAAAGCACAACGAGGCCTTCAACCCTGACAACAAGGTGGCAGAAGATGCGACCGCCGACAACCAGCAGACAAGCCCGGCCAAGCCGACAGTGGTCAAGACCGAGGTTGTGACTCAGC